GACAAGTGTCTTGGGAGGGACATGGTCACTGCTGCCTTCTCCATGTCGATGTTAGTTCTGCTGCCTGGAGAAGCCGCCAATGGTGACTAGATTGTTTGTGTTTATCTTTCAGATGATGAATGCCATAAAAGGAAAAATGAAAGAAATTTACAATAATCTTTCCAAGAACACTACTGGAAGCACAATCGCTGAGGTTAGAGGTGACAGGACTCCTTACTTGCTCTGGACCTTAGAGGCTGCTATAAGTGTGGCATGGTGCATGAGTTGCCCTGGCCCCCCATGCCTGCCTCCATCGCTGCTGCCCCTGCTGTCTGAGGTGTGGGTGAGCTACTCCCTCCCCGATGCCCAGCCAGCAGCTGTGCCACTTGGCCTGGTGTGATAAATAGCCCAGTCTGAGCCAGAGTTAGTCCGTGGGTGAGACGGGAGACCCGTCCTTCTGCTTCATGTCGAATCAGCGCCGTGGTCTTTCCATAGGCCTGGCCCTCTCTGCAGTCGTGATCTAAGCATATGCATACAGAAATTCTCAGGTGGCCCAGAGAAGCCTCAGACTTCTGGTGAAGCATAAACTGTTCCTTGGGAAAGCATCTTTCTAGTACAGTTTGCAGAATTCCCTCTCTGGCTGATAGACCTGGGGAATGCGCTGCTGGCTGTGTGGCCGGGACATCATGGGCCAGGTGCTCACAGGTCACCAGGTGAAGTGCAGGTGGCAGGGTTTCTGGAGTTCTGAGAGGTGAGGAAGAGGTGGGGGTTCCATGCACATCCTCTGACAGGGTTCTTTGCTTTGCTCAGACCTGGCAGTTTCTGAAGAAAAACTGTGTGAATATAACGGGTCAGGAGGAATGGATTTAAGAATTCATTTTAAGAACCCGCCTGTGATTGAAGGTGAGCGGGTTCATACTGTCTCACCCTGAAGCCCTGGTCAGATTTGGGCCGCGCACTTGTTTTTCCATTTTGGGGGGTGATATCCAGCTCCCTCCCCCGCCCACTAGACATGAGATTTTGGCACTGAAATGAGGTTCTTCACCCTTGGAGGGTAAATCAGAAGTTTTCAACCTCAGCCCCTGTGACATTTGTGCTGGGGACTATCCTTAGCAGCACCACTGGCCTCTACCCACTAGATGTAAATAGTAATCCTCAGTTGTGACAACCAAAGTGACTCCACATTGTCATTGTCATGTGTGACCAAGCTGCTTGATAATTAAAACCCTCAGATCAATTCAGTCCAAGCTTACTTTTCCCTTTAAATCAATATGGTCCAAATTTGGGTTATCCTCCTTCCCCCAAGATACCCTTTCATTTCAAAGACGTTGGGCTTTGGGATTTCAGATGAATAATCATGGATTCCACCTGGATGTTTTATTAGGTGAAAAGTCACAGCTACCTTTATTTAATTTTCTTAGACAAAAATGCAAACTTTATTATTATTTTTGGGGTGCTGGGGATTGAACCCAGTGGTGCTCTGACACTGAGCTTCACCCCAGCCCTTTCTGTTTATTTTGAGAAAGGGTCTTGCTTAGTTGTCAAGGCTGGCCTTGAACTTGCCATCCTCCTGCCTCAGCTTCCTGAGCCTCTGGGATCACAGGCTGTGCCACTGTGCCCACCTCTATCCAGACTTTTGATGTATTGTTTAGGGGACTTGGTTCTTCACTCTAAGTGGCTTTTTCTAGTGCCAGGACTTTCCATGGTAGTTGGTACTTTCTGCTGGTTTTCAGAGCCAGCATTTCTTGTGAATTTGGGTCAACCTGGGACTCAAATCCCTGGACAGGTGCTGAAGAAAGGTCAGCACCCAGCCTGGCTGCCTGAGTCAGCCCCGTGGCACCTGGGACCCTTCTGGTCAGGAGAGAATGAGCTCTTGGGGCCTGCTGGGGAGCAGCTGGACCTGCTCAGGGCCTCGTCAGAACCTGCTTTTCTTGTTTCAGATCCGCAGGATGAGGATCGAGATCAAGAAGCTGCAATGGCTGCACAAGCAGGAGCTCTCCGAGATGAAGCACAACCTGGATATTTCCTGGCTGCAGGGCCTGCACCGGGCAGGACTGGGGGGAAACTTGCACCTCTGAAGTTGGACCCAGAAGTGGAAAGAGTCAACGCTGGGCCCGTGGGACACCATTTGTGTGTGCTTGAATGGGGTGGGCACACGGAACCCTGGAGAGGCTCACCCGGAGAGGTCACTGGTGGAAACCCTGCTTTTCTTTGAGGCTACCAATGACGTTCACTGACTTACAGTGGTTCACCTTCCAACTCCTCCGTAACTTGCTGGTGCCTCAGTCTCTTCACTTGAAATCTGGATACATAATACAAACCCTCCACATAGGGTTTCTTTAGGAATTACATTAGCTAGTGCATAGAAAAATGATTAAATCCGAAGAGATATCTCCTGAGAAGGGTCTGTGGGGTACCCAGAGGAGATGGGGACCACGTGGTACATGGCCAAAAAGATTTTCACACAAGCCAGACAGAGGCAGAGACAGGGTGATTCAGGACGGGCGAGCACAGGCTGCCCAAGAGTGGGAGCAGCTGTGGCCTGGGCTGGGGCTGATATTTACAGAGGGGCTGTGTCTGAGCTGGGCAGGAGGTGGAGCCCGGGTGGGGCTACACAGTTTCCCCCAGGTTTTCCTGGGTTTGCATATTTTTCTTATTTCACAGGGGCATGGGCCAGGGCTTGCAACTGTGCTTTCTGAATCTCAATGGCTTGTGGTGTCTCTTTTAAGAGTCTGCATTCCTCTCTATCCTGAATCCCTGTGTCAGTTGGGAGGCTGGGAGGGTCAGATCTGCCACCATGTGGTGATTTTTTTTGTCCCCATCCCTTATTGGAGTACTAGAGATTAAACTCAACCACTGAGCCACAGCCACGTCCTTTTATTTTATTTTCTAATTTTTGATACAGGGTCTTTTTAAATTTATGAGGGCTTTGCTACATTCTGGAGGCTAACCTCAAACTTGGATCCTCCTGTCTCAGCCTCCCCAGTCTCTGGGATCACAGGCCTGCACCCCAGCTCCCCACTGTATTTGTGTTCCTTATAAGGGATTAATTTTTCTGAATTTTTTTTAAATTTCAGAGAGAGTATTTCAGGAATTGAAGAATGATTTATTTTCCTTTATTTCTACCCAGGTCACTTGCAAATGATTTGCAAGTGGTCTTATTTTCTGAAGTAACTGGTCTTGACTGCCTGATGTAAACCTAGAGAACTCTCATTACTGGGTGACCTGACACTTGTCCTTAGCACGGTGATCAGCCCCAGAGTTCCTCTGAAGCCTTGGATCTAGGGCCACAAGACACACCCCTGAGTCCCAGGCCCTGCTTTACCCCATTTACCCCTCTGGGAGAGGAGAGAATGGTAGTCCTTAGCCCTCAGAATTATTAGAAGGGTTCCACAAATTAATTAAGTGCTTCAAGCCACACCTGCAGATAGTAGAAGCTGTGTAAGTGTTTGATAGGGAAACAAAGTATATGCTAATGTTTACTTGAAGGGTTTGTTTGAGGAATTCCTGTGACGTCTTGTGGGGTTGAGAATCACCATTGGTCTCCTCTTGTCTCCATACTGAGAACCTCACGGACACTGTCACGTGTGGCTCTGTAGGCCCGAATGGCGGATTCCCTGTTTACAGATGACGTTTGGACTCAGAGAGGCTGTGTTATGGGCCCAGAGACACACAGCTGGTGGGGGCCTTTCCAAGTCGGGGTTTACACCCCTGCCTGTCTGAGTGTGGGGGTGCAGCCACCCTGTGATCAGCCGGAGTCAGTGATGCAGCCTGCGCCCGGGCCCCTCTCCCAGAGCTGACCATGGCTGAGATGCGGCAGAGTCTGGAGTGAAAGTGGGACTGGCTCATTGCCAAGGTGAAGAAGTAGCTGGAGCTGGAGAAGCAGAAGGTGGTGGATGAGACCAAGAAGAAGCAGTGGTGTGCCCACTGCAAGAAGGAGGCCATCTTCTACTGCTGCTGGAAAACCAGCTACTTCGACTACCCCTGCCAGCAGGCCCACTGGCCCGAGCACATGAAGTCCTGCACCCAGTCAAGTAGCGCACACCCCGGGCAGCAGGGCTGGGGCCTGGGCTCCCGGGGACAACGTGCTGAGGGCAGCTGGCTGACTAGTGTGGGTTTTGAGAGCAAGCATGAGCGTGGCGCACAGACCTAGCTGATCATGGGTGCCTGGCTGCCGAGTAGTGTGCAGGGCTTTTGATCTTCTCTTAGGGCGGGGATGGTCCTCGGCATCCGCGGGGCACAGGGCAGCCCCAAGAAAGCGGGCTGGCCCCCATGTCAGCAGTACTCTGGTCGATCCTGTTTTGGGGGAGAGAATAGACCTACAGCTCTAAATATTGGGGATTCTTATGTGGAGGCCCAGGTGTAGGTGTGCGGCCTATGTTGATGAGGCCACAGCAGCAGCTGTGATCCCCTCCCCAGCTGGAGCAATCCGGCTTCAGCCCAGAGCCCACAGCAGAAAGGACTGCCTCATTGGGGTTTATCAATAACACTGCAAAAGTTAATATTTAGAGCTAGCGTTTGTGGCAAAGAACTCTAGCTTTGTGGGGTTGGAATTGAGTCTTGGGCTGGGGTGTGGCTTTTGGTAGAGCACCCTGGGTGCCATCCAGAGCACTTCCCCTACCCCCAAAAGTCTCCATTTAAAAGAATTCACTGAAAATATTATATAAAAAACACAAGGTTGTATGTCTGTAGCAAAATTTGCAGAGCTGGCGTGTGAATGATTCAAACTTGAGAAACGGCAGTCCAAGGCTGACAGACATGGGAAGGGCCCTAGTGAATATTTGAGGCTTTGTAGCCAGAATCCGGCTGTGTGCCAACAAGATGTCATTCATAAGAACCGGTTGCCGACTCACTTTCTGTAGCCGTCCACGGGAGGTGTCTTCTCGCAGTCTTTAGACTCCTGCTGCCATGGCATGGCACGGCACTCCGCTGGTGTCTAGAGTGTGTGAGGTGCCCCATGCAGGCCCTGCAGCTTGGTCACACTGCCCTGTGGCTCTTTGAGTGTGGTGAAGCCTGGTTTATATGAGTCCAACGCCCACTGTTCCCACCGTCTCCAGAAGCTCTGTGCTCTCTGACGGGTCTTTCCCATCTGCCTCAGACAAAAACAAGTGTCCAGAGCTGTGGTGAACCTAAGCCTCTAAGTCACGGCGGGCTCTTGTGGATGGTGTCATTAGCTCCGAGAATATGCTTTCCCTTCCAGAATGACCTATTGAATCTCTGAGTATTAGAAAGCCAAGACGCTCTCACAGAACCCAACTCGAGACCTCTGGGTGCCTGGCCTCCCTGGGTCTGCACTTGGACCCTGGGTGGGGCCTGGCCACTGGCACCATGGGGTGCGGAGTGGGTTCCACTCGGGGCCTGAAACCATTGGGCTTGGCTTCCCATGGCTTCTCTCTCTCCTGTTTGTCCCCAGCCACTGCCCCTTAGCAGGAAGCGGACACTGAGTTGAACATAGAGACTGGGAACAAGCCCTCCCAGGGGGCATCCTCCAACGCCCAGCCAACTGCCTCAGACATGACCAGCACCTCCAAAGAGAAGGAGCCATCAGCTGAGAAGAGCAAAGATAGCAGCTTGGTGAGGACCTCCCTGTGCCTTGGCCAGTGCCACCCACCCTTTGTGTCAAGGACCCTTGCCCTTGTGTGTCCCACCCACCAAAGTCCTATGCTGTCTGGGTTTGTCTGGAACAGTCAGAAGACAGGGGTCGAGGGCATGTCTGCGGGCTCTTTCTCACAAGTGAGCCCTGTGGACAGGCTAGAAGGCTGAGTTGGCCTCTGCAGGACCTGGAAGCTGCTCTCAGGACCCTCCAAGTTTAGTTCACCACATCCAGGAGAACTCTGTGATGGGGAGGATCCCATCCACTGTGGCTGCCAGTAGCCCCTGTGGCTGTGGAGTACTCAGGATGGTGAATGAGACCAAGCATCAGATTTTTAAATTTGACCTTAGTTCACTTAGATTCAAGTAGCCACATCTGGCTGGTGCTACCATATTGGACCATGAAGGTCACAAGCGCTCATCTTCTGTTGGGCTGTACATGTGACATCGATCTTAGAGGGCACACGGATCATCTTTTATGTTTGTAGTCATTGTGGACTTTGGACGCCATCATCAAATTATCAGTCAAGACCCTGGTCTCAGGGTTGGTACTGCCTCACAGGAGTCTTCCAAAGTGAATGGATCCATTTCTCTTTCAGTGGTGCAGCAGACTGTGCAGGTGTTGGGTTGGTCACGCAGTGGGTGCCGGCCACAGGAAAGGTTCTCAAGCACAGACTGGAGTGCTAGGGAGGGGCCACCCCCGTGCTGGAGGAGTCTGGGAACCAGAGCACAGGTGTGTGCACATCTGGCCGACATGGCCCCGCGGACCACGCCAGGTGGAGGGCACCGAGATGCCCTGGAGGAATGGTGAGTACTCCCAGGACTCCCTGGGTTTTCCTGGGGGGCTCCGTTGGCCCCAGTGCTCTGAGTCCATCTTTCTTTGTATTTCTAGACCCTCGACCTTTCTGGATCCAGAGGGATGCCCTCCTCCATTCTCTTAGGCTCCAACCAAGGCTCTGGTATGTCGCCCCCTGGTGGGCTAATGGCGCTTTCATTTCATGCTGGCAGGTTGGGAGCCATCTTGTCAGGGAGCCCAGGGTTTAGGGCAGTGGTTTTCAAGCTGTTAGGGATCTTTGGGGTGTCTTAGCTGGGCGGGCTTGTGGGGTGAGGGTGTGGCTGGGCGAGGCAGTTTCCCCACACTTCTCTGCACTGGTCAGGATTTACCTGTGTTTTTGTTTAGCGGGGCCCACGTGACACTATTTGGACACAGGGTCCTGCACTGGGAAATGCCAGGGTAAGCAAAGCCCCGTAAAGTCAGCTCCTGAGGGTCCTTAGGCCTTCAGAGAGGTAAAGACAGTGTGGAGGTGGGCGGTGTTTCTGGACCATCCTTTCCTCTGGCAGGCTGTTTGGGGTCTTTTCTGAGATGTGAGGATTTATTTCCTGGGGTTCAGGCGGCCCTTCTCTCTCAGGCCCATTGTTCCCCCCCCCCTTTTTCCCTAAACCAGTTCTGGCCACTGCAGGAGGGTTCAGACCAGCCCTTGCTTGTTGAGGACCGTCTTTCTGAATACAGGGTTCTTGCCTATAACGGTTCCTCCAGGGTCTTTTTCCCTGCTGGTTCTCTTCAGTTGGAGACCAAAAACTTAATGTCACTTGGAACACCGAGTGCTTAGAGGAAGCAGTGTCTGTGGTCAGGTGGGGTAGGTTCCCCAGAGGCCAGGCCTGGAAGGGCCAGTGGGAACTGGTTGGTGGAGATGTGGAGTGGCAGGAGTGAGTCTAGGGAGGATGTGAACTTGGCCTTGGATTTGATTAAAGTGCCTGTCAAAAAAGCACCACCCTAGGGCTGGGATTGTGGCTCAGTGGTAGAGTGCTTGCCTGGCATGTGTGAGGCCCTAGGTTCGAATCTCAGCACTGCTTATAAATAAAATAAAGGCCCATCAACAACTAAAATATATTTTTTAAAAAAAGCACTGCCCTTCATGCTTCCCTTGTAGTCCCCAGATGGAACCTACAGTCATGGCACAGCATGGCACTAAGATGCCATGGCATCTCAGTTTGTTTCAGAACAAAGCCAAAGCAACTTCAGGTCTAGTGGTGTGGTAGCCCTAGAACGTCGCCCTGCAGTTTTCCTTTCATGATGGTAATTTGAAGGAGTTGCAATGATAAAAGCTTCTTTTGGAATCTAAGTTGAAAAAAAATGAGCTTTAAACAGGAACTGAGCAGCCTGTGAGGGGACTGTGGGTGTGTCAGAGTGAGGAGGCGGCATGAGGAGGGCCAGGCTGGACAGTGCTGCTGCCCACAGCCAGTGCGGTTCAGAGGTTCTGCAGCTGCAAGGTGCTGGATGGAGGCGGCCCAGGAAGACTCCTGATGCTATGAGTGTGGGATCTGCCAGAATAAGGATTGCATGTGGCACGATGGCCAGGAGAGAGTGGTCAGGGCTGGAGGGACTTTTTGTAGGTGGCCAGAGAGTAAATGATTCATTGCAGGCTCCGTGGTCTCTGTCCATTTGCTTCACTCAGCTGTGGTAGCAGGAAAGCAGGCTTAAGATGACACAGAACTAAATGTGGGAGTGTGTGTGTGGGTGTGTCAGTGGGAGTGTGCGCTAATGAGTTTGGAAGTGCAGAAGCAGGTGTTGGGCTGTGTGGGGCCTGAAGCATCATGGTATCTGGGGAAGTGAAAGTAAGGTCACTTGGGAGCCTATGGCTGCTGCAGGTGGGGGACCTGAGCCAAGCAGGTAAAGCCCCTTCTCTGGCATTTCGAGGGTGGCAGAGGAGTGTTCATTGGTGCTTCCTGAAGGACAGGAGGCACTTGCACTCCTGGTCATGCCCAGTGCCTGGGGGAGAAGTCACTATGTCCTCCAAGGCCCAGAGAAGCCAACTCAGAAGCCCAAGTCACTTGGAGAGTGTTTGCCAAGCCAGGACGTAGGTGACCCCAGACCTGAGCTTCACCCACAGGACTCAGACCAAAGCACTGCTGTTGGAAGTCAGAACTGGTTGTGTCATGGCGTGTGCAGCTCAGTCACAGAGGCTGTAGACGTGGCCCTGGTCTTAGTGTACACCTCCTCCTACTCCCCCGCTCCTTCCTCCTGTGTGGCCTGTGTGACCTACGTGGCCTGGTGTCCAAGCCCAGACCTGGACTTCAGTCTGGCTCACAGGCCCCGGGCGCTCCAGGCTTCCTGATTTCTTAGCATGGCAGTGTGACTCCTCACCTGCACCCGAGCCTTGGCGCAGCTGGAGGAAGTTCCCCAGGACCACAGATCTATCCCATGGCTTGTTTAATCTTGATATCAGAAGCACAGTTCCTCATCTGCCTCATCCTTCCTTCAAACCCCTTTCACCATCCCCCATTCTGCCTTGCAGAGGTGACCTCGTTCCCTGCTCCATCTCAGACTCCACCTATCCTTCCCGCTGTCCTCCCTGTGACATGGGTGACATGCTCTGCCTTTCCCTCCTGGCCACCTTCAGCGTCTGACGGCTTCTTGCTTCCTGTCCTTTGACATAGCCAGATTCTCTGCTCAGCTGCCTCCTTCCCTAGGTGTTTAATACACTTCTCTTTCTCTCCGTGCTCCCTCCTCCACCTCCCATGTTGCCAATGGAATGTTGTACCCTGAAGGCTGTGTCTTATATCTGCAATGTTCACACTGGTGGCCACTAACTACCTGTGGGTGTGGAACCCTCAAGCTGTGACTAGGAGTGGAGTTTCATATTTTATTTTAGTTGACTTAACAGTAGCTCTGCCAGGTGAAATGATCTACACAGTTGTTAATAATACCCAGCCTACATAATCCAGAGATGGGAGTTTAAGTCATTCCCACAGGAGTAAAAGAACCTCTTCCCCAAGGAATAGTAGGCTTATTATTGGGGCGTAGTTCATCTACATTAAAAGGACTTATGATAAGTCCTGGGGTAATTGATACTAATTATGTAGGTAAAATAAAAATTATAGATAGTTCTCCAAGAGGTATATCAGTAATTTCACCTGGAGATAGAATAGCACAGTTGTTAATAATACCCAGCCTACATAAAAAATTCTCTAGTCATAGTGTAGAAAGAGGTTCCAGGGGATCAGGCTCCACAGGTGTAGATTGGCTATGCTCTCTTTAAATTAGAATCTCGCCCTATGCTAAAACTAAATATTCAATGTCATGAGTTTAATGGGCTACTGGACACAGGTGTTGACCTTAGCATCATATCTCGTCAAGAATGGCCAAAACATTGGCCATTACAACAAGCCACTCAAACGCTTCGAGGCCTAGGAGTGGCGACTAATCCCCATAGAAGTGCTATGGTATTAGATTCAAAGGATGCTGAAGGATGTGAAGGAACTATACAGCCATATGTATTGGATCACCTTCCTATAAATTTATGGGGAAGAGATGTCCTAGATCAACTTGGTTTGATGTTAACAAATAACATCAATCCTAATGCGCCCACTACTAGGGCTAGACAAGGTTGTAGGAAAGAAAAAAGATTAGGAGAACAAGAACAAGGTATAGCAGCACCACTTCAAATAGATCAAGGAACAGACAGACATGGGTTGGATTTTCAGAAAGGGCCACTGAGACAATCAAAATTACTTGGAAATCAGAAAGACCAGTGTGGGTTCCTCAGTGGCCCCTGACTAAAGAAAAGCCCATGATCTGGTCAAACAATTAGCGGAAGGACATATACAACCTTCCGTATCTCCCCATAATACTCCCATTTTTGTTATCAAAAAGAAATCTGGTAAATGGAGATTATTGCAAGATTTGAGAGCCATTAATAATGAGATGGTTATTATGGGACCTGCTCAATCTGGGATTCCTCAATTGTCTGCTTTACCAAAAACCTGGCATGTTTTAGCTATAGATATTAAAGATTTTTTTTTTCCGATTCCAATTCATCCCGAGGATAGTCCACGTTTTGCATTTACTATCCCTGCATTAAATCATGAAGGTCCTGATCAGAGATATGAATAGAAAGTACTCCCTCAAGGGATGGCTAACAGTCCAACTATGTGTCAAATCTATGTTAATAAAGCAATCCAGCCACTTAGAAATCAAAATCCTGAACTACTAATATTTCACTATATGGATGATGTATTATTAGCACATACAGATAAAAACATATTGCTGGAATGTTATGCCACACTTACAAACTTATTAAAAAATTATGATCTAGAGATAGGAATAGATAAAGTACAATTAAATTTTCCAATTATTTAGGAGTTCTATTATCGTCAACCATGGTCCATCCACCTAAAATTCAAATATGAGTAGATCAACTCAAATCACTTAACGACTTTCAAAAGTTATAGGGAGACATAAATTGGATAAGGCCTTATCTAGGCATACCAACAGGAGAGTTGGGACTTTTATTTGATATTCTAAAAGGTCCATCAGATACAAATTCACCCCGAATGTTAACTCCTAAAGCTAGAAAGGCATTAAAATTTATTGAAACATATATGGAAAATATGCATCTAGATAGAATTGATATAAGTTTACCTTTATTATTTATTTTACTACCAACAAAAAATATTCCTACGGGAGTATTTTGGCAAGAAGGTCCATTATTGTGGATACATTAATCTTATTCTCCTAACACTATTCTTACTAGGTATCCTGAGGCTGTAGGACAATTAATACTCAAAGGAATAAGAGCAACAAAGGGAGTATTTGGAATTTCTCCCAATAAAATTATTACTCCATATTCTATGGATCAAAATGATGAGTTAGCTAATGAGTTAAATACTTAGGCAATAATCATGTGTAAATCTAATGTTTCATTTGATAATCATTTACCATCTAATCCTTTGTTGTCTTTTGGTCTAAGCATCCTGTAGTTTTTCCTAAAATGACAAGAAAAACACCTATCACGAATGCTCCAAATATATTCACTGATGGGTCTAATAATGGTACAGCAGAAGTAGTTACCCCTGATCAAACTTTTACATTTTTAGTACCCAAACAATCATCTCAAAAGGTAGAGCTTAATGCAGTTTTACAAGCTTTTGTGATGTTCAAAGATTCTGTATTTAATTTATTTTCTGATAGTCAGTATATAGTTAATGCTATAATATCCCTTGAAGATGCTGGTAGGATTTCCCCTTCCTCTACTGTTTTCTCTTTGTTTTTCACTATACAAAGTCTAATCTGAGACAGAAAAGATTCATTCTTTATTGGACATATTAGGGAACATACAGGATTGCCTGGAGCCCTTAGTTTGGGCAATGATTTAGCAGATAAAACTACACATGACATACATATTTTCTCTACACTAGAAGAAGCTACAAATTTTCATAAAAGGTTTCATGTCAATGCTAATACTTTACAAAAGCGTTTTAAAATAACTAAGGAACAAGCCAGACATATAATAAAACAATGTCAAAATTGTGTGACCTTTTCCAGAAAGGGCTCTGGAAGAGCACAGAACCTGGGGCCTGAGGTAGCAAAGCGCTTGGGAGCCGAGACACGACATTCAGGAGCACCAGCAACCTGTCTGACTTCAGGGCAAAGGAAGTCAGCCCTGGGGACAGAGAGCCAACCGTGGAAGGGATGTTGGCATGAGGTAGCTTGGCTTGTTTCAAGGCATCCAGAGACAGGCCTTGGCTTCCGGCCTTCTGGCTGAGCAGAACCACAGTGGCAGACACCTGCTTGGACACATGGCTGCCCAGGGTCTTCAGGGCATCCGTCCCGCTGAAGTGCAGGGCGTGCGCCGCCCACATGTTCACCTGCAAGCGGATCTGCTCAGTGAGTTGCAGCTGCTGGAACAGCAGGCACAGGATCTGCTCCAGGACTCACTGGACGCCATGGGCGCTGGGCAATGGGGTGGGCTGGGCATCGGCACTGCTGGTTCACGGCCACCTTGGTGCCCTGGAGTGCCTGCAGAGTCATGTTAGTGTTGGCCACTTTGCCTTTGGGTAAATAGCTTCTGTCCTGGGGCGAGGGCGGCAGGGCGGCCTTTGCCTTCAAGTACCTTACAGGCTCCGTGCCCGGCTTCTTCTTGGCACTGCCACTGCTCCCCTGGTGACCATCCTTACTGCTTGGGCTGACTAGTGGGTGGTTCAGCACCGCTCTGGAGAAGTCCTCTGAAGGCACTGGTCCCTCGCTGTCGTTCATGATGAGGACAGGTGAAATCTTAGTGCAATCTTTCTTATGTGCCAAGAACTCTGAGAGGCTGAAGAACTCAGCACAGCATTTCTCACAGATATGAGTGTCCTCTTGGCAGAGCTGCTTCGCAGTGGCTTTTTCCCCACCTGCTTCATCGCCACTGCCTGTGTGGTTCATTGAAGCACCTGTGACAAGAGAGAAAAAGCTAAGAACTCAACCCAAGGAAAGGATATGGTGACACCTCGGAAAGAACCATGACTTCAATGACAGGCACTCCTCATGTGTTCCCACAGGAGAAGGCTGGACTCAGAAACAGATGCACCCAAAAGGTGGGAATGAACAAAGCTGTGAGCTGAATTATGCTCCCCCAAAAGACATGGCCAGCACCAGCTCAGTGGTAGAGCATGTTCCTCATCCATGTGAGGCCTTGGGTTCCAAACTCAGCACGGGGGGGGGGGGGGGGGGGGGGCAAATTAAAAAAAAAAAAAGATGGTCGTACTTCCCCATGTGGCACACCCCCCCCCAAGAACCTGTGCATGTGCATGTGACCTGATCAGATAAGGTCTTTGCAAATGTAACTAGATTGGGCCTAGGCTTTATCCAAGGCTGGTACTGTTATTTAAGAAAGGGAGATTTGAGATGTACCAGATGTGTCTCCCTCAGATCCTCTAGAAGGAATCAAATCTGCTATCACCTACATTTGCACCCTCCTGACCTCCATACCTGTGAGACAATATATTTTAGTTCATTTAAGTGATCCAGTCTAAGGCAGTTGGTTAATGGCAACCCTAGAAAGCAAATATAACTTATCCAAACAATCCACATCCCAATCGCTGCACCTCTCTCAAGAGTCAGCTTGCAGAGGCAAACAGATGGGTTATGCTGTCTAAGAGAAGGACATTGATCCTGCTCAGATCATGGCTGTTGACTTCCTTCTTCAGCCCATAGTAATTAAAGGCAGCCAATGACTCATTCATCCAATGCACCCAGCACCCGCTTTCCAGGGGTAACAAAAGCTTAAAGGTGCCAACAATTCAGATGGTAACACCAAATTCATTTGAAATACAAAGTACAGCAACTTGGGTGAATTGAGATAGGAAGGACAAGAAGAATGTTCCCAGAACAGCTTCACATGTGGGAAACACATGGAAAAAGACTGCAATGGCCAAGCAAGACATGAACATAGAAAGACTTCATTGACTTTTTCAGATTACGACAAACCCATTGCAGTGTCTTAACATTTAGGAATTTAAAAGGAAAACGAAGCCATTATAGAAAGTGAGAAGTATAGAAGTAGGGGAAAGGAATGGTGGACCCCCCACCACATACACAGACCAACAACTTCTGCTATAATTCTATTTTTCTGAAATGAAATACACGATCCCTGATCCAAGATCCTTTAGCTGTTTTTTTCAACTTATGACAGTGTGACAGCAACACAGGCTTAGTACTTGGAATTCTACATTTTGACCTTTGCTTGGGAATCCTCTCTTGTGATGCTGGAAATCCACAGAATCACCAGCAGCAAGTGAGATCTTCAGCACCACAGCGTGGTTAGGCAGGGGTGCTCAGTTAGTTAGGCATATTAACTGCATTCTCTGCCCACGATAACTTCCACTTATTCTGGGTTTATCGGGATGTAATCCCACTCTAAGTCAAGGAACATCTGTGTACAAAAGCTAATTCCTATTTTGAGTCTTATCTTCTTAAAAATGACTGACCCGAGGATTTTTTGGGCAAGTGGATCCTATCCAGATTAGGGTTAGTATTAACGTACACATTCTGATTCCCTTTTGAGGACTGTGATGTACCCAGAGGCTTGGGTCCTAGGAATCTAAAGCCTAGTGCGCAGTCTCTGCCCAGCTGCCTGCCACCCTATCAGGTAGGCTAGGCCCTTCCCTAAGAAGGCTCTGGAGCTTGGAGTCTCAGACTGGAGAGAGACACATCTTGAAGGCATATTTGCTAAGGAGTAAGAGGACTTCATTAGGAACAATGGCTGGGTATGCTTAAATTAACCTGGAAAGAAAAAAGCAGAGTTCAGAGGAATTACACAGCAACTCCTTCTTCCATCCCTCTGCCCCACCCCTACCCCCAATTGTAAGAATGTTATCTCTCTGCATCTAGTTATCCAATAAGTTGGAAGAATACAGTAAACCCAGCAGGGGTCTTAGATTCAATCACAGTCAAATGGATAGAGAATACTCCAGGTATTGTGCAGGAAGAAAGTTAATCTGCTAGAGGCCAATCAAATTCTGGAGACGCCAAAACACTTAAAAATTAAAACCTGTGTATCTTGAGGGAAGCATTATGATTCGGGCTTATCTTCTTTCTCATTCCTATATTAGAAGAATGACTATGTGCAGATTATCTAAGGCCCACAACATCTCCTACCCACCCCTACCACCCAGATAAGGACTTACCAAAAAAAAAAAAAAAAAAAAAGAAAATTAGATCCCCAAGTGTTGAGCCAATGGCAAGGGCCCTGTTAACCAGTTTAATTTTAAAACATGTAGATGGCAAATTAGACCCCACATTAAATTTTTACTTAATTAAAAATTTTAAAAAGTTTCAAGGAGCCTTGGATCAATGTCCAGGGAGGATCTATGAAAAAGGAAGAGTAAGAAGATCAAAAAAGACTGCTAAGATGTGTGATCTATCTGGCCATGGGGTTAGAGATGTGCCTCATTTTGAAATTTGAAAACTCCAGAGGGCAAGGGGCTTTGTTCCCTCCTGAGGATCCCTCCCTGAACAAAGCCTGACAAGAGTGTGAAAAAAAAAATTTTTTTAATGGCATGACTAGTGATGCAGTTCTTATCTGGATTTAGAGGCCTTTAAACATATCTAGAATTTTTATTTTTAAATAATCCAAAGTATAATAGGTTAAAAGTGCTAAGAAAGGGATCTAATTTCTTGAATTCTTCCCCCTATCACTTTGTCCAGGGCAGTAAGCCTCAAAGGAACCAAGTGCCAACATCATTTTCAACTTGCTTCCCTATAACCTCTTCATCTAAATCCTGGAAGGGCATATTAAAAAAATTGAAAGGGTGATTACAAAACCCAACCAGCTTCAAACACTAGACATGTCTTTTTCATCTGGGAAACAAGGAAGATAACCCCATCCCACTACCAACTGCTCAAAGACCACCACAAATGCAACCCCTTGGATTTAGGGCAAGGCTGAATAAAACCAAGCAGGCCAGGCACCGTGGGCAAAGTCATCCCAACCTGAAGCCACAACTGGTTGTGAGAACTAAAGATCATGTACCTGAGGTCCAGAGTGGGTCGACCACAGAGCAGGCTATTTTCTCTGCAGAATTATTTCAGTGAGCAGCACAACACCATCCTGACACAATAGTAAACCTAAAAACATTTTCTTTTTAACAAAATTATTGTTCACATTCCTAACACATTTCTACAACAAAAATAATCTAACTATCATCTTATCACTGTTGTACTAAGGAACCCAAAAACTCAGGGGGAAAAATAAATTTTGCCTCCTGTTCACACTACTGAAGCTCATGCAACCAGACAGGAACACATCCCCTGCTCTAATGCCTTAAAATAACACCACCAATGAATTCCCTAGCACCCACCAACACTTCACATTTCAAAAGAGGAAAAGCTAACCATCTCCAGCCTCCCAAAATTGTTCCCGGCCCCTACCTACAAGGAAACTCACTATCTGAAGGAGCCACACAAGTGTAACTGACGTGAATCCAAGAGTGTAGGGTGTGGTTCTTACAGTTGAGGAACGAATTTAACAATGCAATTTATTTTTAATAAATAAAAAGGGATTGTGGGCAAATTGCAGTCCCCTCCTCTTCTTTTGGGGAGGGGAACTCAGATGAATTGGCCTGAAACCTCACTAAAGCCAGTGTAGGTAATTTTAGGAAGTTACTTGAAATTTGGGAATCTTACAACCATCTTAGATGGTTGTAATCCAGCTTAGCACAAAGGGCATTTGAAACTCTTTTGAGAAAATGCTAATTTTCCCTAAGTAGTGTAAGCTCCCTCCCTGACCACCTGCAGATTTTTTGACCTGCTAATTATTACCCTGACTTCATTTTCCTCCCCACCCCAACTGCATTCTCAAAGAGCATGGCAAAATAAAGCCAGCAGGGTTGCTGTGCGCCCGCTGCCCTGGTTCCCTGGGGCCAGCACCCCTCTGGTTACCGCAGTTATTTTTAGGAAGTCGGAAATCAAAGATGTCTGGAGGTCAGACCTAGAAAAGTTAGGGCGATTATGGGCAGGCGGCATAGCCTCAGGGAAAAGGCGAAAACCAACAGAAGAAAAAAGAAAAAAAAAAAAACGTGAAAGGAGAAATACAGTTTTCTTCTCCACCAACTCTCAGGGCGCTCCAGCCCCCTCCACAGCGCGGGTGGCCAGCACCCCAACCCCTGTGGGTGGGCAGAGGTCGCGCCCCCTCCCTCACTTGGCCTGGGAGGGGCGTGTGCAACAGATCGCCCTCCTCCAGGGGGGTCTTTCATGGGTGCGCCCCTCCTCCACCCTCCTACAAAATCCCCCAAGAGGCGGTGGACAGGGAAGAGAGCCTTGAGGTCTCTTTCTTTTAAAACCGGCGCCAAAGAGAGTTGGGGAACCGAAGTTATGGCAGGGGGCGGGGTTATTAGTTAAAGGAGTGGAACCAATTAAGAAAGAGGCTGAGGACTAGGAGAGGAAACCCTTTTAGGAGTGAGGGAGACAGCAGAGAGTGGGGGTCAATTTTACAATAAGAGGGGAAAGAGCTGGGGGTGAAACATACAAGAGAAGAGAAAAAAAAGTGTAAAATCTGCAAAGACGGAGTTGGGGGCGAT